ACACACACACACACACACACACACACACACACACACACACACACACACACGTCACAAAACATTTCATTGGTGAAATGGTCTCAGTTAGGAAGTTCAACCACAACCAGAAATTTTACTTATAACTGTCATTTGTTTTTGTTGCATGCGGGTACTTGTGGAAGCACACAAACATGCACACACACACACCATATGCTTTTACCCATCAATGAAGTAGAAAACTTTAACCAAATACCTCTCATGTGCACACAAACTTTTTTTTTTTTAAATAGACAGGGCCATTTCAACAACTCCCTCATACAGGCACAGCCATACATGAAGATGCTGCACTACAATGATGTGAATTTAATTTTCATGTTTCCCTAGATAGCTTACCTAAAGAAAAAAAAATGCTTTACTGAGTACATTAATATTACCCCAGCCTTTTGAAGAAAAACAGATAACCATTTCATCAAATAGCACCAACTAATAAAATGACACTAGAACTTTCCCATCCCAGTAATTTGGCTGTCTAATATTATTGCACTTATATAAATATATGGCTTGTAATGCTATCTGCACCATGTAAAAATGTCATTGAACATTTTCAATAGGAAGTACCCTCACTGAAAATGGGACAAGACTGCATGCGCAGAATTCAGAGATTATGAAACTATACAGAACTATACAGTTCTTTATCAACAGTTGTGACAAATTACCATGGGAGTTTTCGTGCAGCAACAGAATGACAGCATCTTAAAAATGCCCATAGAGCACTAAACATACTTGTTATGGCAGTGGGAACTTGTCTACCCAATGATACTATGTGATCTTCCCCCTCTTATCAAATTACTTCATGTGTACAGGACTAAAAATGATCAAAGATAATTAAACTAGTCTCACTACTCTGAGTGTCATGTATGCACAAAATAATATAACTGTATCCTTTCACAAAGATATAACTCAGGCCTTAATTTTAAGGATTCTAAAGCACAATTTAAAAATATAAAGCATTACTTACAAAAGCAAAGTTTATTCTAAGAGGGTTTTTGTTTTTTCCTCCACAGACAAGGTAATTATGAATCTATCACACAACAATGGACTTATGTGCTAAAGAAGAATTTCTTCTACAGAGTGCAGCCAAGTGAAGCATGGGACAGCAAAGAATCTTAGATGTATTAAATTAGCCTTACTTAGATGCTAGAAATTAACCACACATACATCAGATGACAGTGTTCCTCTCTGCCATGCTTCTTGTGTAGTTGCCTAGGCGGCTAGATGCTAGAAATTAACCACACATACATCAGATGACAGTGTTCCTCTCTGCCATGCTTCTTGTGTAGTTGCCTAGGCGGCTCTGAAAGTGGATACGGGACAAACCTCCTAAGAGCTCATATACTGACGGGTAAAGATGGGTAGAGATAGGACTGGGCTGCACAGCGTAGAGAAGCAGACTTAATTCAGCTCTAACAGGAGCTGCTGGTTAAACAACACAGGGAAAATATCAATTGACTCATAACTATGTGTGGCCAAAAATAACCTGCTACAAATTAAGATAAATGGTTCAACAGCGAATCAAACTGGTTTCTCAGGGTGTATCATTACAGTAAATCTCTTGACTCTTTATGCTGTGAGTAAACAGGGATTATTCTGGAGCAGAAAAAATAAAGTGTGGAATTAGTAATGCAGATGTTGAAAGGCCAATGGCATGACTAGGAGAGTGACTCAAACAGATGCTGTTTTGTTCCATCTCCACTAGCACCTACTATCCAAGGTGAAAGGCCAGAATACCCAAAGCCATTTTAGCAGTAGTGTGCACAACTGTCAGCTGACAAACAACATAGAAAACAAGTCACATTATGTTATATGTGGTCACGTTCTTCATTGTTAGTTCAGGAACTCAAGACTTTTATTTATCTCTGTTTATTTTCATTAAACATGTAAAGGTTAATAAACAGACACAGTCCAGAGTTAGTAGGTTGGTATTATAACATTTATTAAAATAATGCTATGGGTTAATAGAAACAGCAAAGAACCAAAGAATTAAAATGCAAGCTATGTAAAATCCCAACTAAAACCCAGAAGTGTCTAATGTATTCATTCATCAGCTAACTAAAAGCTCAAGAAAGACAAGACACCCAATATAATAAAGTACTGCAAAACAATTGGCAATTTTCAGTTATCAAAATTGTGGATTTTGCATTTTGTATCCTTTTCTCAATCAAGAAAAAAATTCTTTTGAATGTTATATAACATACATATAAAACAAGATAGAAAAATACATTATAAACTTGTAACAATGGCTGTAAATACATTATCTTACATGTTTCTCATAGGCAATAGGTTGGTTATGGTACATACATAGCATGAAACTACTAAGATAATAAAGAACAGACAAAAAATACATGTCAGCTGTATGGTAACATACAAGCGACACTCCCATCTACCCACACTAAAAAATTACATAATACTGTCAGGAAAAGAGTCTTAAAAACTACATACTTTAATAAGAAAAAAATTCAATAGAGTGATAATACTGAGAACCAAGGCATTCAGAGATTCCAAAAGTCATGCTTTTTTCAGTTGACTCAAAACACTGTCAACTAAGTTTTCAAAAGTTTGTTCAGAGCCAGTATTACTCATAAACGTCACACGTCTATTGTTTTACACATTTACTTTCTTCCCCATAAAAGACCTTTGATAAACATCTAAAATGTCCAGGTATAACACAGCTGAGATGAGGCTGGATCAAATACTGGTACTGTGTTTTTTACTATCACCTCAAGTGTTCTGAGTGTCGCAAATTTATTCAACCAACCAAACAAAATAAAAATCAAAATGGCACAGCATATATAGTAAATAAATCAAAACCACCACAAGTGTAACAGAAAGACAAAGCAGTGGTACATTAAACCAAAGCTAGCTGAGTACAACACAAGGACTGTCTATTGCATAGTAAATAAACTGAAAATGGTTCCAAGTTGAGACAGAATAATGGAGAGGTCACCATGAAGGTGAGCAATGAGCTTTCCTGCTGACCTTGACTGTGAAGCCAGGAAGGTATGGAAGAGGCATGAGTTGATGAGCCAGGAGTCCACCATCACTTGAGATTTGCCATGTCTGGTACTGAGTGGTTAATGACTTATTAACTCAAGTGTTTAGATGTAGGCTTTGCATACAAACTGCTTCAACTACAAAACTGAACTTCATGAGAGAAACTGAAGATGAAAAGGAATGTAGCTGAGCGTTTATATGCACTGTGATGTTAGCTTTCCACACAACTTATTAAATTTTGGCTACTTAACACTTTTTTCCACAATAAAAAATTTCAAAGATTCATTTTTTGTGAAAAAGTTTGTTAGGCATTACTAATTTCCAATTAATAAGAAAAAAAAATCCATTATATCCCTCTTCTCCAAATAAAATAAAGCTCTAATTTAATTTTGTCTGTAAACTGATGTTCAGATCTCACATAATTTTTTTTTTTTAAACCTCAGAATCCTTTGGGCAAACACTGAAGACAGCAATAACCGAAAGTACTCAATTATGATTTGTAAAAGAATGACATTTTAAAATTTACTAGTCAGACATTAGAAAAGCTATCAAATTTTTTTCACAGTATCAGATTTGGCAAATTGGCATCAAGATAACATGACACAAATCATATAATTTAGACCATCAACTCATTTGTCTCCCCTCATATCTCCTTTCACATACTGGGCGACTGAGGAACATGCATTAACTTTTATTCTGAGGGAGGAGCTGATCTTACAGGACACTTGACTAAATGAGCATGAAGGAAAATAAGGCACTTTCTTTTTCTTTAGACTTATTCCAATACTTAAAAAATAAAAAAGAAAGACAAAAAGGCTCTTTTGGTCTTTTGTTTCTTGACAACCACCAGAAAAAATCATTTAACGAAATAAAGGGTTTCTTTGTTCTTTTTCTTTTTTTTTATAACACTTGAAAGTATAAAATGCTACATTTCCAAAAATATATATATTTTTTCTGCACCAGCACCCTTGTATAGTAAAAGTATCTACTTTTTGTTCATTTGTTTCAATGCACTACACTTTATCTACAATTTCATTACATGTATACAGCAAATAGGCAAGCATGGCTTTTACATCCTTAATGATATTCTCTATACAGGGAGGTTTTAAAAAAAATATTTGAACAGTTTGCCCAGTAATGTGACACATAATGCATGTACCTTGTTCTCGTATAATTTTTAAGGTGGTGTAAAATAAAGATTTGGAAATTTTAACTCAGATACTCAACTTTTTAAAAATAGTGTCGCAGTTTTGTTCTTTGCATTACTTTTCAAAACTCCTTGGTAAGTTTTCTCTCATGGCACACTTTGTTCTAATACTTCAAATTTTGGCAGGCAATATAAAAAAGGCTGCAATTTCTGCCCTTTGAGGGCACTGTAGTGACTAAACAAACAGCATGTCAAATTTTGAATACTTTTGAAGTCACTTCACCAATGACATCCCTGACCGAAGGTTCATGCATGATGCATTGTCACACAGTACATTCAGAGAGAGCTTTGACTTCGCTATGAGAAGAAAAAGATTCCTACAAGTCTCTCACAGTAACTGCCTCTGTCATTGAGTAGTTAGGGCCATCTGTCTCCCTTTCTTAAGAGAGGCCTTCTTACCGTTCGCTTGGGGTGGGGCATTGAAAGATGATCAGTGCTGTGGGATGAATCGGGCCTTATTGCTTTACTACTATTCAGTGCAGGTTCTAGAACCACTTTCACCCAAACAGGAGGGGAAAAGCTGAGTTGGAGGACAATTTCTTTGTCTTTTGTTTGGTTAGATGGTAAGACGAACGGACAAGTGCCTCAGCTCGCTGCACTGACGACAGGCAAGCAAAGGCGATTACCAGTTAACTGATCAGCAGGCAGGCATGGTCAGGTCATCATTGGGTGAAGAGTTCAGAGGTCAGAAGGTCATAGGTTAGTTGCCGGTGGCGGCTGGGTGGTTAGAAACAAAAAACAAAACAAAAAAAGAAAAGAAAAGATAGAGAAGAGATTAGTTTCAGCTAGTGACGGCTTAATGACAACATGAAAAACTAATCACAACTAATAAAAAAAAAAAAGCATGTTGAATTCTGACAAACTGATTGACACCATCTACAGAATACAATAAAAATCATGACAATTTTATATCATGATTTGAACAAATAAAGAAGAGCCCACTCCCACAAAAATAATTTGAAAAAACCCAACTTGTTAACAGAAAAAAATAGAAATAAAATACAGCTAACAACTAATAGTTAGTAGCAGTCAATGAAGGAAATTGGAAAACAATGGTGAATAGGTTTGGTATAAAGAATTTTGAACAGTCAGTGCAGTTATGAGTATCTGACTGCTATTAAGCATTAGTATTCTCTCAGATGCAAGCAATAAAGCAACTATTAATGATGGATGTGATTATTAATAACTGATGATTAACAGAAATGAATCTAAAGAAATTTAAATTGCTATGAACAATTTGGTTCAACATAAACTCTGGGCCAAACAAGTTTTCTTTTGTTCAATAAATGTTTATTGCTTTTTCAATTATTCTATTTACAAACAACATGGAATTTCTTGGCCTCATGATACAAAGCAATACTGTAGTCTAGCAGTGTAGGCAACATCATGGGAACCAGAAAAAGGCCAGGCCTTTTGCACCAGCCAACATTTTCCAGTTGAAAATACTAATTTACACATATAGAACACTTATAAAATGCACTTGCATGTAAACACTGTAAAATCCTGCCATTTAAAATTCTATACCTCAAGGAACTATAAGTACATAAAAAATAGAAGAAATTTCTAACTGATACCAATAAGGCATTTTAAAACTACAAACAGCTTTCTTTATTCAATTTCAAAGCTAATACTCTGCAAATACAATAAAATCTGACATTTCATATACATTCCTGCTTTATATTTTTATATTTTAAAAGCCACCTGTAAATACTATTTTCTTTTGCAAAGTAACAAAAAAGAACAAAAAAAAATTAAAAAAAAATTACAGTAAAACATAAAGTAGTTCTCAAGTGGAAAAGTTATCACTCCAAATGTCCTTAAGTAGCTCCTTCTTTAATAATCAACCTGTCACATTCTACTTCACCAAACTTGGTCCACTTAACAGTAGTATGATTCTTAAGACTCATTCAACAGCTTAATTATTTCTACTATATTCTGAGGTTTGACAGAATTTTCTGTACTGTTGCCATTGAGACAAAGGCAGGAGAGATGTGAATGAAAAGATGCTCAGTGCAAAGTTAGATTCTAGGCCACTCCATATATCAAACCTAGTAGGTGTAATGTTCACAGGGTTGAAATGTTCTATATAATAGACCTATATACCTTTGTATGACAAAAATGGTTTCTATAGTCTATCAATTAGAACAGTTTATAAATACTACAAAAATACTGTATCTTTAATATAATCAAATCTTCCCTGAATTTCTGAAAAGGAAGCAGAATTTTATTTAGAAAAAAAAAATTTTTAAAAGGCTGTTTCAAAGTCTTAAATTTGGTTAAGTAATGGCTTTTGTCAAATCATTACTTGGATAATTTCTGATTATTTTTTGAGTGTGGAATATTTAACAAAGCAAACCATCATATCCAGTATATCTAGAATTCATCCTCTGCCATGTCCTGGCCTGCTACAGTACACACAGGTATGTCAACTGTGCAAAATCACTTATAGTTTATTACAACTATAAAGTAAATTGGTCTTTATGTTTCAAACTGATTCTGAAATAAGTATGAAGGTTGTTTTAGTAAGCAACTAGATACTTGTCGACCATGCAACTAGTCTAAATGCTCACATAGTTTCATGGTTATATGTCCTTGGGCTGCTTCCTTGCATCATATGAATGCTAATAGTAACCTTCTCTTTAAAGGATTTTTTAAAAAGTAGAGAAAACAGTAGTATCATAAAATCATGTAAGTCAAGGACTTCGGTCATCTCCCTCAGACCCAATGAGTATATATGCTGACAGTATACAAAAGTGATCTGTTTCTAGAAAAAGAAGAAAGGGAGCCAGGAAGGGAGGAAGGATAAAGGCATTTCGGTTTGCTGACATTGCATTCTGAATATAAACAGAACTATTCAAAATAAGCACAGCTACAGATGAGCCATGCATGGAATGTGTTGTCATTTTCCAAATATAATAAGATCTTGGTCTAATATGTTCAACTATCTGAAGGCTCTGGAGTACAAAGTGGGAAAGGATTACTGTGTTAACAAAATTATGTAAAATCTCCTAAGAGACACACAGGGAAAGAAAATCTAAGAGGAAAAACTACTTCAAAATCAAAACACTCTGTAAGATAATTATCTTTTATAATTATATTATACTGCTAAATTTTATAATTTAGCAGTATGATACAGCTTCAAATTACTTACAAGACTGCTCACATCTAAAATGACTTTCCCCCATCTAACTTCCTCATCTCTAAGTGACTCATCAAATAGCTGATGTGCTTACATTTGGCACAACTGCACAGAATATTATTATTATGGATATTCCCCGAGGTAAGGATTTATTTTGTTCAATGAATAACCACTGCAAAAAAAAAGTGTATGTTAGCTAAAGTTTTCAGGACTCTTTCAGTATATATAATATTAAATATTGATGTCTTTGGGTAGGCATTTTATTTCCAATACACAAAACAATTGTGTCCAGTATTTATGATGGGAATTCAAGGGTAATCATGTGAAGTGAGCTAGGTCCTTTTCTACTATTCTTGGAATTCCAATCTTGCAATTGAAAACAAATGAACAAACAAACAAACAAACAAAAAAACACACACAAAAAAAGTAAAACACAATTCAATGTCTTCAATGTCAAAAAACCGAAACTACCGTTCCTCAAATAAGCATAAATAATTTAAAAATGGGTCCAAGGGCATATGTAGGGCACAAGTTACATGAAAATGAGAAAAATGAAGACTTGTTTTCCAGTCACAGGTTAGTCAAAAAGGATATCCAAACAGCTGGATCTCACATACCACAGAGTTTCAGGATAGTTTACCTTCAGGTACTATATTTTAGCAGCAAATGACACAACTCAAAGGATCCATTTTGGCAAGAGAATAGAGTAAGAGGGAACTCTTTTTCTAATTTATAAAGTATCCACCTACATGAAAATTATCTTCACAGTCCTGACTGTTGATTTTTAGCTAAGTACTTGACATGTATACCCTCATATTTATGCAGTGGCTCATGTTTTATTATAGAGAAAAATGGAAACTAAATCTTCAGTTTTCTCCAAATTACACAGAAGCAAAATTTCTTTACTTCTCCCATGAAAACATCATCTGTTCAATTAACTTTACAGTACCAACTGAAATATTCAGAATAATTAAAGGGTAAGTTTTAGCAACAATTACTACTAAAAATTGCAAAGGTAATGTAAAAATTTAATAGCTCCCCAAGTTGACTAATTTATGTTTTAACGGGAATAAATCTTAGAACACAGTAATAAACTTAATAAATTAAAATATAAAGGGGAGGGGTAAAAACCCAAACCAAGAAACAAAAATCATAAACAAAACCACAAAACCAGCCTTAAATCAATCAATTATTAAATTAATTTAGGGAAGGAAAAGAAACAGTGTGCAGGTAAACAGTTACATTTTTCCATCAGGTGTGGTGTTGCAAACTTTATGGACACCCAGCACATTGCTTATAAACAAGAACTGCAGAACTAAACTAACCTCGGTCTGCGGTCACAATCCTTTGGTAAGGATGGACACGCATATCGTGCCTTCGAACTTTAGTAGCCACCGCACCTAGTTAAATTGCAATTACCAAGACAAAGTTAGAAAACATACATAAGGGAAACATCGACAGCAGGTTTATCAAAATGGATCTCAAATGTTCACTTACTACAAAAGCTTAAGAAACACGTTAAGGCACAGTAGTTTTAAAATTAACTGTAGTATGTATTGTATATAGGCATCTATCAATATTGCGTTCATTTCAAACATGGCCTTCCACCTACTTCATCCCTTCATGTACAGTCCCCAAGTCACAGTATCTCACGAGCTCTACTTGATCCAGACACAGCTGAGCTTTACTAGTCACATATTCACTGAAGTGCCTCTCTTGCAGCAGGACTACTTAAATAATGCCACATTTAATACTGACAATTATTTGCTAACCTTCACTTCAGAGTTTATCACTTAAAAAAGGTTTAAAAAGCAACTCTTAAAGGCTACAGATTGTGGTTTTAAACTTTTGAGTCAATAAGTATGAACTGCAATGAATTAGGTGATTAGTAAAGCAAACAGTACAGTACACTTAGCAGTCAGTATACTACTATACACTCCTTTATAAATTACCGTTGCTTTGCAGTATTACAGACTAATCCAAATTAATAGCATCATTTTACTTTATATCTATGTGCAAAAAGTGCAAGTAAGTCACTGACTGCTAGGCTAAGGTTTTTCCCGGAGGCTGCTGAGACTAAGCATTTGTTAAATTCAGATCTGATGAGGGTTCGGTTAAGACCGTTCTTGAATTCTTAGCCTTTCGTTGGGAAAGCCATACCTAAAGATAAAAGGAAGGGAATTAAACATTAGTCATCAATGAAGATTTGATGCTAACACCAATCTCCTCACTACCACCAACACACATGTCTGCATCTGTTTTGAAGGGCACTGCTTATTTTAAAATAATGGGAGACTTGCTACATAGCATGCATGTTATCTGTGTGCAAATTTACTGTAACTGGGGAATTTAAAATAATTTCCTGAGTTCTCCAAAGGGCCAATATCATAGTTTTACTGCTTAGGTGGCAAAACAAGAAATAACAATGAGAGTATTTTCTCACTTAGTACTTATTACTGAGAACCTTAAAAATGCTAATTGGGTATCTACATATTTTGCTCTTAATTTTGTTGGTTTAAATCAAGCCTTCATAATTATAAAATTTCTTAACCAAACCAAGCATGTTGCTTTACAATTAGAAATTTTACAGCAGTGCCTCTTGCTGTCTCTAAGCAGTAAACGGATTGAGAATCTATTTTTCACTTTAGATAAGCAGATTGCATAGAAATATAATTCTATCTGGTAAAACTAGGAGCTCTTGCACTAATAGTCAGGAGCAGCAGCTGGAAGCCAAGAGCCCTAACTCCTCAGGAGCAGATGCTGTGAGTGCAGCAGAGAGGAGTTCTGGGGAAGGAGCATGCACAGGGCCACAGGAAAGAGTATTAATAGAAAGGAAAACTTAAATAAGGTTATAACAGGTTACATGTTATTTAAAAAAAATGCTTCAAGTAATGTGCAACAGAACACAGCCTCTCACTAATATTTCTGTGGTATAATTCTGACTTATAATTATTTATACAATGATTTAGACAGAAAACATATACAATAAAAATGTATGTTTATAAACAAAAGGCACCTAAGTGCATGCACACACACAGATAACATACAGAGTATTTTGTCTTTCTTTAAATGAACAATGAATTTTCAAGTTTAAATCTTAATGTCCAGTTCACTAAAAAATTTTCAAATTAATATTAAGCTGGGGGGGGGAGGGGGCAGGGAAGCTTTAAGAGTTCAAAGTCCTAAAAGTCAACAGCAGGCACACAGCACCAAGGTCATACACAAAAAAGTTTCAAAATTCTGTCTCGTAAACAGTGGGGTTTCTCCACACTGACTGGTCGTGTTCTACAGCTGCTGTACTCTAGTCCTTCATCCAGCAAGTCAATGGGCTGAAATATCAGGCATGACTGGCATTTCAATCCACTCTATAAAGAAAAGGCATCAGTAATGTCTGTTTCAAGAATATTGCTTTGATCATGTAAACCCCTGAGAGTTTGAATGACTTTAGTTTTTACCTTCAACATGACTGAATTTATTAAGTTAGTGTGTGGTCATCTCGATCACAGTAATATAGAAATTATAGAATATTGGTTATGTTCACCAAGACTTGAAAACTCTTAAGACTACAACTATTAACTACATCCTTTAAGTGATCATCAATATTTAAATACATACAAATAACAAATTTAATAAAAATCTCAAAATATTGATAGTACGTTAAAATTCAGTGAGCAAGTAAATCTGTGAGACAAAATAAAGCTAATTTTGGAAGGTGGAGCTGATGAAGCCATTAGGATAAAGTGGCAATAATAGCCTAGATAAAACTCAATAACAACATCAGTCATCTAATTAATAAAGGCATCATTTGGTTGAAAGTATACATGGCAAGTGTACTTAGAGAGATTCCGAGATACTAAAGTAAATTAAAACAAATTAAGGTATAGCTACTTAATGGGAGAACCCTTGTGAGGAACTGAAATAAAAGCATATTTCATTTCCGATTTTTCCTAATCAAAACACATATTGTTTCTCTAAAATTGGTAAACATTGTGTCAAAGTCTGGGGTACTACAATTTAGGAATTTATTATCCACCTAGTACTGGAATCATACTTACCTAACACACCACTGGGTTCAATAGGGTACTCAAGGATTGATGTAGCTGGTGCCAACGTGTAGGGGTATTCATAGGGTGTGTAGATTAACCCAGCTTCAGGCCCTGGAGGGACTATTGCAGCAGTTGGGTGAGGAGTTCCGTTTGGCATGACAGCGGTCTGTATTTGTCTGATCAAAGGCATTATGGTAGGGCCAGCTGGCGTAGGTGTACGCAGAGCAGCTGGTGGGAGGACAGGCGCAGGCCCAGTGATGATCCTTGGAGCAGCCTGGGCAGTTGCTGCAAGAGAAAAGGCAAGGGCTGCTACAGTAAGCAAAGAAATTTAGAAAGAAGTATAGGGATAGCAGTAATAAAACATGAGAAAATGAGAGGGAAGTAGGAAAAAGAAAGGAAAAAGCAGGAAAGAAGAAAAATAAAAGGAAATCATTAGTACATGCATTGATCACACAAAAATGTCAAAGCATACCAACCAAATGCAATCAGCTTCCCATTTCCCCAAAATGATTAAAAATAATGCAAAAATAAAACCCACTGTAAAAAAAAAATAAACAAGACCATTAAAGTGTTATATTATTCATAATTTTGATGATATTATCCACTTTAAAAAATTTGTGAGACTAAAGGTACATGCAAGCCCACAAGAAAACATTCCAATTAAAAGATTCAATGAAAGTAATTAAGTGGAGTCCACAGAAACAGTTCTGGTGTATTTCTAAAACATAACTTTGGCTTCAAGTTTAAGGAAAACTCCCTGGATTAAGTATGTTTCCAGATTGTTAGGAATTACTGCACAACAAAAAGAATAAAGAAATAGTCCCACTGCTAAATTCATGACAATTAAAGCCAGCCATTTATAAAGCAATTACTGCTAAACTCACTGGGTTGCCTACCTTTGGGAATTTTGGCTGTGACTTTAAAATTCAATTTCTTAAAAAAAAAAAAAAAATCATCAATGCTCTAAATATGGTATGTTCAGATAAATGACATGTAAACCTTAGGTCATCTCAAATTATATATTAAAAAAAAACCTACTCTCTCATACAGCTTATAAAATTATGCCACAATCCATGACAGGGAGAACAAAGGCTGAAAACAGTTCTCACCCACTGATCTCTGTGAACTCACAAGGGAACTGAAATAGCGGAAAAACATGAGTGCAAACATGCAAGCAAGGGGAAAAGAAAGATTTCAACAGCAGGGCCATTTCATTTAGAGAGTTTAAATAAACTCTTTTAAAAAGCTTTCAAATTTTTGTATTTTGTATAATGTCACAAAAAGTTCAAGGTCTTAACTAGATAGTTAATACAACAGGATATTTTTTTGAACCCCTTCACCAAAAAAGTAAATTTACAACATCAAACTTGGTATGCTGGCATACAATTGAACAGGCCTTTGTTTACAGAAGCATTAAATAAAATGGGGCTCTTCATCAAATTGTGAATGTTATCATTATTTCAACTCTAACTGGCTTTTATACTGTGGTACCAAAAGGAAACAGGAGCTGTAATCCTGCCCCAGTTTCATTCTTACGTGATTTAATGTTGGCGTCTCTGTATGTACCATTCAGAATTGCAAGCTCCATCAGCTGCATCTTCTTCAGGCTGTCTTCTCCTTCAGCCTACACATGGGAAACAGGAACATTAGTATTTGGTACTCTACACATACATTACAACTAAAAAAATATCCACCATGTGACCCTGAACTACAAATGTGATCTAGCAATCATCACTGAATCTCTAAGCTTCTATTTCTGCTTCTGTGCACTTCTTTTCTTGGTTTCCCTCAATCACCTAACAAGTGCTACCAAGTTATCTATTCGGCCCTCTATCTTCAGGGTCACTGTATAATTTCCTACCTACATAGGAAATATTTACAAGTGAAAAGGGTACTAAGACTAACTAGAATACATAAACATCAATGAGGATGGCTACACCATTTACCATGGTTTCACCCCTCTTCCATTAACTAATACTACTCTTAATAATTCATTCTTTTTATCCTACCCAAACTACTGAAGTCATTTGACAGTGGTGCCTGTTATTCAATACATATACAAACTAAACACCAATCAAGATCAAAAGTCAGATAAAGTTCCCCCTAAACACAGCTTTTACCTTAATGTTTCAAAATATTTGTATGTCTTAAAACCTACAATTATTTATTACCATCTGGACAAAAACTGAAACCCTCTTCAAACTACCTCAAGGTGAGCCAATTAACTTTCTCTTTCACACATACCTTGTAGAATAACAGACCAGACTAACTTTATTAATATGTTAGTATATATTCCTGTTTGCCAATTGCATATGCTCTTTACATGTTCCTGTAATTTCCCTTTCCAAGCCCTACTTATTTACAGCAGCTTCAATAAAACACTACCTTCCCCAGAGCCACACCTACATTCTATGATTTCAGCCATGAATTACATCTTGTAGTAACATCACTACTCCCAAAGTAAGCTCCATTAGTTATCACTACCTAATCCCAAAATTATTGTTGTTTTTTTTTTTTGTTTTGTTTTGTTTTGTTTTGTTTTTTGTTTAAAGACAGAGACTCACTGTATAGCCCTGGCTGGCCCTGAACTCACACCTGGCTGGAACTTATTTTTTAAGTGATTGGTATATGAAATCTGACTGTACTTCCAAAGCACAAATTTTAACTAGCAAAAGTAAAATCCAAGTGGTAGAAAAGGAACTAGGAAGTCTGTCCTTTAAAGAGTATGAAATCAAGTGTCCCCCATTTTAATGCAATACTTAGTCTTCTTGACCATTTGAAATATGGGAGGGAAGACACATGCAAGTTTTTCAGTCTTCTAGTTCTCTTACAACTGTAATGACACATAGATTTTTTAGAGTAGGGATTCACATCCTATAATTTGTAGTAAATAGAATTGCTGAGTATTAAAGATAAGTGAAACCATTATAAAGACAACATTTGATGTCCTATTGACAACAACTTTTAAAGTCTCCTTTGCAGTAAAGGAAGAAGATACCTGCATATTTGTTGATTATTTCTTGACTCTCATCAATTTGTATAAAAATAAATAAATATGACTTATTTGGTAGAATAAAAAATAAGCGAGCTAATATTAGAAGGGAGTAAGTGGAAATCTGTTATTATCAGAATTCCTAAATATGTTCACTAAAAATATTAATACTATAAATCAAAATTTATCAACAGTTGGTTCAAGTTTAATCTGTGGAATCGTGAAATACATAATAAATGACAAATAAATTAATAAATAATGAAATAAAAGAGACATTAGGTATTACTTTCAGCCTGAGTGAAAAAGATGTTGTCGAAGTCTGAAAGTCAGTGAGTGAGGTACAAATTTCCCTCCATCAAAAACCTAAAAAAGGAAGAAGCTGTCTGTAAAGAGAAAATGTGCTTGAAACATGTTTGAATTAGACTGTTTATTATTATTAAGAAATGGTTCGTGTCAACTGCAGAGATGATGCCAAAGAGACAGATGGTAGAAGAAATGATGTGTTCCCACCAGAATGACTGGCCATGTCATTTGTAGGACCCAGAACATTAAAAACTGGGCAGAGATTACTGCAGTGAGTACGCAGAAAACCCTGAACTAGCAGGTGCTAGTTTACAGTAACTTAAAGTATGACCACTGTGGAAGGCTGAGTTAATATGTCATAACCCTCCACAGACCCATCAAAGGAATTATGTGGCAGAATTAAATCTAAAACAAGTTGTCACTTTCCAGTATGAGCTTTATTGTCTTCATGTGCTTACCATCTATCACACTCTATTCAAAGAGAGGGAGATACTGGGTTTTATTGCCTCACAAGACAATAAAGGTCATTACAAAATTATCTCCATATAAAAATGGTTGTTTCAACTTTACTGACCCATTTCTGACAGAAATTTAGCATATTTCTTTGCTTAAGCCTCTTTTTCAAATGTAAATTCAGATAAAGAAAACTTGCTAGTAAGTTTTATCTCACGATGAAAAGGCCTCATCTGGTTCTTCTGTAAGACCTTTAGTAACTGGTCAGCTATAGCAACCTCAAGTTATAGATCTTCCAGATACTTTACAAGGTATTTTACCAAGCCAGCATACCTATGACAGGTCTAATAATTACTTTGGGGGTGGGGATGGATAACAAATAAAACTACTCTTAAAAGCCTGTATATGGTCATCAAATGGTAGTTTACACTTTATGCTATATCCTCAATCTCTTTGCTGTTTCACTTTAAAAACCGAGGCATATTTTTTAAAAACTGTATTTATTTATTTTATTAATTATAGTTTATTCACTTTGTAGCCCAGTTGTAGCCCCCTCCCTCGTCTCCTCCAAATCCCAATGCTCCCTCATCTCCTCCTATGCCCCGCCTCAAGTCAGAGGGGAGGTCCTAGCCTATCAAGTCTCATCAGGACTGGCTGCACTGTCTTCCTCTCTGGTCTGGTAAGGCTGCTTGCTACACCCCTCAGGGGGAGATGATCAAAAAGAGCCAGCCACTGAGTTCATGTCAGAGACAGACCCTGCTACCCTTCCTAGGCAACCGGACCTGAGCTGCCATGGGTTACGTGTGTGGGGTTCTAGGTTATCTTCATGCATGGTCCTTGGTTGGAGTATCAGTCTCAGAAAACACCCCTGTGTCCAGATTTTTTGGTTCTGTTGCTCTCCTTGTGAAGCTCCTTTCCCTTTCAGGTCTTTCTATCTCCCCCTTCTTTCATAAGATTCCCTGCACTCTGCCCAAAGTTTGGCTATGAGTTTCAGTATCTGCTTTGATACCTTGCTGGGTAGTCTTTCAGAGGCCCTGTGTGGTAGGCTCCTGTCCTGTCCTGTCCTGTCCTGTCCAACAACAGATCCTCTGGAGGTATCTCCATCCCTGATCTCAAGCTGTACTACAGAGCAACAGTAATAAAAACTGCATGGTACTGGTATAGAAACAGAATGGTGGATCAATGGAATCAAGCAGAACACCCAGAAATAAACCCACACACCTACGGATACTTATTTTTGACAGAGAAGCCAAAACTATACAATGGAAAAAAGACAGCATATACAACAAATGGTGCTGGTCTAACTAGATGTCTACATGTAGAAAAATACAAATAGATCCATATTTGTCCCCTTGAACAAAACTGAAGTCCAAGTGGATCAAAGACCTCAACACAAAACCAGACATACTAAATCGGTTAGAAGAAAAAGTAGGGAAGAGCCTCAAACTCATTGGCACAGGAGACAACTTCCTGAACAGGACACCAACAGCACAGGCTCTAAGATCAACAATCAATAAATGGGACCTCAGGAAACTGAAAAGCTTCTGTAAAGCAAGATACTGTTGTCAGAACAAAAACAACAGCCTACAGACTGGGAAAGGATCTTCACCAACCGTATATCTGACAGAGGGCTGATATCCAGAACATATAATGAACTCAGGAAGTTAAAAAAACAACAAATCCAAGGAGAGCAACAGAACCAGAAAATTTGAACACAGGGGTCTTTCCAGAGACTCATACTCCAACCAAGTACCATGCATGGAGATAACCTAGAACCACTGCACAGATGTAGCCCATGGCAGTTCAGTGTCCAAGTGGGTTCCATAGTAATGGAAAGAGGGACTGCCTCTGACATGAACTGATTGGCCTGCTCTTTGATCACCTTCCCATGAGGGGAGAGCAGCGTTATCAGGCCACAGAAGATGACAATGCAGCCACTCCTGATGAGATCTGATAGACTAAGATCAGAAGGAAGGAGAGAAGGACCTCCCCTATCAGTGGACTTGGGGAGGGGACATGCGTGAAGAAGGGGGAGGGAAGGTGGGATTAGGAGGGGAAGAGGGACGGGTTTATGGGGGAGATACAAAGTGAATAAAGTGTAATTAATAAAAGTTAAAAAAATGCAACAAATCAAGTAATCCAACTTAGGCATAATTTACAGGCAATTATAGCCAAAGATTTAAAGTGATAACCTTGGACCAGTTTTGATGAATGCACATGAATATCTCTGCATTTGCACCAGAAAAATCTCCATGTATATAAGCACCAACATTCTCTTATACCCCAGTTCAGCTCTTCAGTTCTAGAATTTAAGAGACATGCATTTTAAATTTTCAGGTTTTTTCAGTACAATATTTATTTATGATACTCATCCATGCCATTTGTATATGCAGATTGTTCTAATGGCCAAGTAGTGTTTTGTTGTTTATTCATTCTATAAACTTTTACTTGATTCTAGTTTGAGAATACACTGTGAATATAGGCAGTTTGAAAATTTTCACAGGCTTTTGTTGTAAATCTAAATTTTTACTTATTTTGGACAAATATCTGTAAGTGATATTGCTGAGTCATAGGACAGATGAATTCCATGGGAAAATATAAAGATTACCAGAACACCATGAACAGCATAATTGCTGTTGAAGTATGAAAGTTAAAAAACTCACAACATCAGAAGTCTTGAGATGTCAGAGATTTTTAGATTTGCAAAAAGATAGTATACCACTGATAATATAATATCTCTATTGGTGTCTGGGGAAATCTCTTATAATAATCCTGTCTGTAACTATAACTATACACATATACAGTAGAATAAACAGTTGCAAACATAATTTTTTGAACTTTCTGGAATTGTGGATGACAGACTGATAAGCACATGT